TATATTATGCACATAGACATACAATAGACTTCGTATGTAGATTTCTTGGAAGGCATACAACTAGCTGAGTTGTTCAGAATATCACTCATTAGTCAGTATTTCAAAGAGTGCTAACAACAGCCCTGTTTCCCTTGTGAAGAGTACTTCAAATTAAATGGCGAGAATGTGGAAAAACAGTAATGCAATACTGACAGTGTTTTGTTGCAAATTCTGTTTGTCTTGTGAATGAAGTACATCAACAATAAACAAGGTCATTATACTGTAAAGAAAAATAAAACAGATTCTATAAGAGTGACAGCAGTGGAACAATAGAATCTGTTGAGTAATGAATTACTCTGTGAGCAATGAGCACTGATTCGTTTCTATTATTTCATATTCCCCCCTCAGGGTCATTAGAGCAGAACAGGCAAGTGCCACCAATTAGACAGACGGGGTCACCTTATGACAACACACAGCAACAGACAGCATGCAGGGCCAGCATGATCAGGTCCTGGCTAATTGGTAATTACTCCAGTCCCAGTGCCTCAAGGTAGACTGATATGTGTTTAATTAATCAGCAATAATTCACGCTCTTGTTATGCCTGCTAAATAATGAGCCCCTATGCTACCCCCTCCAACCAAAGCATTGACACTAAACAGTTCAATATCTGAGTTGAAACAGTGGAAGTGAGCTGTAAAAGTGTGGATTAAGAGGAACTTGTTCAAACTGAATCAGTGTGCCAGTCAGACACTATGTGGGATGTTGAGGAGCAAACAGAGGTAGCATGAATCTCAGTGTTCAGATAGGGACTGCATTGTAATGAGAAAGGATATAAATATTCAAACAAAGTTGAAAACAGTACAAACACACCATTCTTTTGCTGATGTTAAATGCTAGGTTTTCCCTGAGATTAATAATATAGACTGTATGAAAGAAGTGGACGTAGCCACTGTGACGTCAACCACTGGTTTGTAGAACAGTGACCTTTGTAGAAGTGACCATATGAAGACAAGAGGGTGGAGCTGTGGGGGAGCGAGAGTCGGATCTGACTGAAAACCTAAGGATACCGCCACGGCATTAGCAAAGATAGCCATGCCCTAAAGCAAACCCTGCTTAATTGTCTATTTTACTCTAAACAGGAGCATAGTCTACAAAATGAACATCATGCTGTATTGAAGAAGACTTGAAACTAGTGATTGAGACCCTAAACTTATTATGAAAA